TCTTCTTCCTTGATTGGACGTTTTGCCAGGCAGCTGCGTCTTTATTTTCGGCATTCTGCTTCGTCACGTCTTTCGGAGGAGTTGACTTCAGGTCCTTCTTCTTTGCCACTTGCCTTTCTGTTGGATCTGGCGAGTTTTGGTCCTTCCTCTTATTAGACTTGGGAGCACCTTCACTCTTGTCGTCAGCAACAGATTCACCGTCATCGTCGGCACCGGTGTCCATTGATTCCTCTGTCTCAAAAACAGCTTGACTGTCTTTCTCTGGCGTAATGCGAGGCGTTAGTCGTTGTGATGACTGCCATTCCTCGTCCAGTTTCTTGTATCTTCTAAGAGCATTGACTACACCGGTTGTCTTGGTCTTTATCTCCTTGTGGATATTGACCTTTGTTTGGACAAACTCTTGCAGTTCAATGGTCAGCTTTTCAAGGCGCTCCAGCGCTTGCGTTCTCTTCATTTCAGCACTTGCTTCAATCGCTGCTTGTTGGGCATGAAGCCTGTTTCTACTCTTGTTTGTTTCCTGTAAGTTACTCATACTTTTTGATTCACCAGTGCATCGTACGGAGTGGAGCGGGTTGCTATAACTAGGAACGGGTGTACCCTCGGATATAGTGCTCCTACCCCAGTTCCCTGAGGCCTTGCCGACACTTAGCCAGTCCCGGAATTCACGGACGGACTAGACTCGCTCGGGGTGGTGAAGATTCCGATCTCTAACACTCACTGTGTACTTCCTGATCAAGGCCCGAAGTGGCTGGCTCCTGATCCACTGCTGCAACTTACACCTCGGCAGAGCAAGCTCACATCAGCCGTGGCATGCATCGTCGGAAACTACGATACAGGTTCCGGACACTCCCAGTGAGTTACAGCAGGGACCGATCGTCTTGTTAGGTCAGTTAGTGTGACCAACCCATTAAAGGGGAGTTTTGTCCACGGGAGCGTATTTTGTTTGGTTATTTTGCTTGACTCCTACCCGCTGTACCCCATCAACTAAGAGATTATCCAAGTGTCATCCAAGGACAGCGAGCGTTCTCCCATCTGCTCGGGGAGACGCGCCCGGTAGCAGTATCTCTTCTGCCCCGAGTGTGTGTGTGTGTGTGTGTGTGTGTGTGTGTGTGTGTGTGTGTGTGTGTGTAAACCTCTTATAACTTTTGAACGGCTTGACCGATTTGATCGCGATTGGTGCCATTCGAAAGGGCTTGACCAAACTCAAATTTTGTATTTACTTTGGAACGATTCAGACCGGTATATTTTGAGAAATCGCAAAAAAACTACAAAAAAAAATTTTTTCAAAAGTGGTTTTTGGAATAACTTTTTAACGGCTTTACCGATCAATTTAAAAAACTAATTAGCTCTTAATTAGCTCAAAAAACCACGTTGATCGCCGCCAGTCCAGTCAAAATCGGTTGATTCTTTCGTGAGTCATCGTTGACGAAAGAAAACCGAAAAAAGTGTTTTTTCGGAATTACTCCGAAGTTTTCTACTCTGTCAGTAAAAACTTGAAAATCTTTCATGAAGCTTAAAAAACTGCGTCAAATGCCACCAACCGCGTGAAAATCGGTTCATTTATTCAAAAGTTATTGCGATTTGAAAATTAAAAAAATAGTGTTTTATCAAACTTCCATCAAATTTTTGAGCTCGAAGAATTCAAAAGCATACAAAATCTATTTTTTTGAGCTCGGAGAGCTCAAAATAATATAGAAATTGTACTTATGAGCTCGAAGAGCTCTAAAACGTCATAAGTGCAATTTCAAGTGTTTAGGTATAGAATTGGCGGGAAGTTGCACGGATGGCCTTCAGGGTCAACCGTTTTCCTAATTTTTTTATCTGATTACGTACCCCAATTTCCCCCTCCACAAACTCTAATACGTAACAATTGCAGCTATAATAATGAATAAATTTAACTGTATTTATTTTTCAATTAATCGATTTTATTTTTCATATGCTTATGTAAACAGGTCACATATTTTTTGATGATGCTTTTCAATGCATGTACGGTTGTGATGGAATATGTACTCATGATGAAAATGAAACTCATGTAAATGATTATGTTAAATCTTTGATTAAAGTAATAAAAATATCAGTTGAAATGCTCGGTGTTTGTGCCAATTCTCCTATTAAATATCCTGCACCATATGGAGGACGATTTGAATGGACTCTTCCAGGAAAGACTCGCCTGATAGTACACTTGAAAGATAAAAATAAAATACGTCATAGAAAACGTTGGAGCCAGGTACTTTTTAAACAGTAGAGAAACAACATTCCTTGAAGTAAAATTAATTTTTCTTAGGTGATGTATATGTATTACTTATTGGGTTATGGAATAATTGATAGACCAATCTCTATTAATCGTAAAGCCGTGATCGCAGAAAATACATACATTCTTACGTTAGATGGTGATATTGACTTTCAACCAAATGCCGTTAAAGTCCTCTTGCATTTGATGAAACGTGATAAAAATTTAGGTGCTGCATGCGGACGAATTCATCCGATCGGTACGGGTCCAATGGTCTGGTTTCAGAAATTCGAATATGCTATTGGACACTGGCTCCAAAAGTCTACTGAACATACAATTGGTAGCGTGCTTTGCAGTCCAGGCTGTTTTTCACTTTTTCGTGCAAAGGCATTAATGGAAGACAATGTTACACGAAAATATGCTTCACAATCAACAGAAGCTTGGCACTACATTCAATACGATCAAGGTGAAGATCGTTGGCTATGTACTCTTGTTCTTCAATCCGGTTATCGAGTAGAATATTCAGCGGCTAGTGACTCATATACCCATGCCCCTGAAACTTTCAAAGAATTTTACAATCAGCGTCGACGTTGGATACCATCTACAATTGCGAATATATTTGACTTACTAAATTCATCAAAAAATACAAGAAAAGCAAATGAAAATATATCATGGTTGTACATAGCATATCAATGGATATTAATGGGTAATGAAGCGTTATGAATTGTATTTAAAGTTATTCTGCAAGATATTTCGGAGAATGGATATCATTAAAAAAATATTTTTTATTTGTAGGAAGTACGGTGCTTGGACCAGGAACAATTTTTCTTATGCTGGTTGGTGCATTTGTTGCTGCCTTCAGAATAGATAATTGGTCGAGTTTTTACTATAACTTGATACCTATTGCAATTTTTGTGACTATTTGTTTCTTCTGCAAGTCTGATTTTCAACTTATTGTAGCAGCTATTATTTCTACGTTCTATGGATTAGTTATGATTGTTGTTCTTGTTGGAATAATGATACAAATTGCTGATGATGGATGGTTGGCACCTAGCACGATTTTATTTATGGTTGTCGCAGGACAACTAATTATTGCTGGTTTATTACATCCTCAAGAAATATCCTGTCTCATATGTGGGGTTATTTATTACGTAACCGTTCCTTCTATGTACATGTTATTAATTATTTATTCTCTTTTTAATATACATAATGTCACTTGGGGAACTCGAGAGTCTAAAGTAATTGTGAAAGATGATGTTAATCAATTGCAATCAAAACGAAATAATAAAGCAATTAATATTAAAAACTTAAATAATTCAAACCAACAAAATTTGGAATGCTCATTTTTTGGATTATTCAGGTGTATATTTTGTACTCATAGAAATTTTTGTGAAGAAATGTACAAACTTGATGATTTACAAAAATCATTGGACCAAATCTCATTGGATATAAGGAATTTAGAAAAGTAAGTGTATTTTATCATTTATAATTACACTGCAACCGTGCGCTTCACAACGTGCGAGCATTGAAGTGAAGAAACGACCTATTTCATAACTTCGTTAAAATGATTCTAATTAATGGTCATATTAAGTTCATTTTCAATATTGGGAAACGCCGCAATTGGACTGAAATTGAATCTGAAATAGTTCTGAAACTGAATCTGTAAAGTCATAGACCCGACATATTAATTAACATAATGATAATTATTTGTCGATTTTTTAGTACCACATAATATTTATTTATTATTTATATTAATAAATATATTTATCCAATACCTTTTAACTATTCGGACTACAGTCAATATATTGAACAATGAATTGTTTTTTTATTACAACTTTTAACTCAATTATTTTACGATGATTTTAAAATGTCAAACGGCGTGCCATATATTCGTGTGCCACTAATATAAGATTTGAATCATCACAATACTGAATATCGATGTAGGACTTATATTATCAGTACAACATTTGTAACGTAACTCTTTGTCACGTGGTAGATCTTCACGGCAAACGATAATTCACTACGTTACACTTCGTCCATCTCAGCCACCTCTCGATCCTCCAGGAACCCCGACAGGCGCCAGCCGACTTTTGTTTCACCGGTATCGGCAACCGGGATACGATAACTTAATTTTTATGTTCCCAGAAGACCAAGAGCAGCCTCGACGGTAACGGAATACCTCGGTGTCGCTCAGTTATGCAGGTTATGGAGAGAGGGTCGTGATTCGGTCTTTCAGAGGAAGTAATTTCCTTATAAAACGGGACTAAACGGTATCTAGTACACTAATCGGCACTCCCAAACTAACACTCAACCTTATTAATCGGTAAAATAAAATAAATCGATATTAAAAATATCGCGGAAGCAGTCCCAAACGAACACGAAACAAAGACAATGGCTTGGGCCATTCATCTCCGGTAATAGCAAGCGTGAGGCACGCCAGCTCCGATACGAGAGACTCCCTTAACTCCCTAACGCGATGCTCACTCTACGGGAGCTCGTAACTGACTCCCCCCACGGTACATAACTAACGCTGCCTAGCAGCGACGGCACGTCCGTCCTCTACGGGGACCTCCACAAGACCCCCCGGTAAACATCAAACGCTGCCTAGCAATGACGACACGTCCGTCCTCTACGAGGATCCACACAATACCCCTCAATAAATCGAGAGTTCCACACAAAACAATCCGTACTCCTTCACTAC